TCGGACATGGGTGGGGGTGTGACCATTGGCGTTCTGCGTCACATCAACCACACCCACACCCAGACCCGTCTTACTATGCTTCCAATATTTAACTTCTCTCAAGTATTCTTACCACATGTCATCTACTCAATCAATTAATAGCAAAGTTTATAGTTGGTTGCTTTGATGGTAGAGTCCTTTACACATTGACAGACCTATTTTGCCATATCATTCTTACCGTAGATTAAAACGAGTCGTTAGAAATGATTGATCATTGTTTTCTACGTCATCTTTCCTCCATCGACGACCATGAGCAAAGGATTGATCAACAATTTGACAACTTTAATATGAACTAATTGATAGAAACTCTCAGTCCTAAGCATTATTAACTATTCATTTGTATTGACATTGTCTAACATAACAAATCATGTAAAAAATAGAAACTTTTCATCTCGTCAGAATAATTGTCTAAAATTGACCATTCATTACAAAACATTTTACCGAAATAATCTCTTCGTCAGTGAGCTCTATTCATATAATTATTGATGGCAACAAACAAGATGTGAGCAAATGAAACAGACTGCAGTAGCGTTTTAATTCATACTTGATAGTAGGAGATTATATTAAAATAAAAAACTTGAACACTAATGGAGTCTCGTGTCGAGAAAAAATTTATGTTAAGCAATCAATTTTTTGAAACAAAAAAAAACCATTTTTGTTCCCTGTCGACCATCTAATGGTCATCATTATTGTTAGACGCATCTACATGTCGGTGGAAGATCTACGCAGTTGCCCCAATCATATCCACATCCTTGACATCGACGTATACATCCAGAAGGACCCAGTGTAACACAGGTACCCAGTGATTGACCACATATCTGAGCAGTTACTATGACTAAAACAACAAATAATTAAGCACTCAATGCTTATAGTTATCCATATACATACGGCTTAGATTTGAGATGATTGTAAATGCAAGTAAGACGATGATGATAAAACGAATCATATTGAAAATATCGATTAATGAATGTTTGACTGTATTTATACCCAAGCAGTCAAAAAAGTTAAATTGACGCGTTATAACGACCTTTTTGCGTTTTATCTTGTAACGTATTTTGCACAGTCAAAAATGTCCGAATTTTGACGTTTTAACAATCGCATTTTTTCAGCTTTCACATCGTTAAAATGGTAGAAGAGACAAACAATTACAATACATTTTCGAGATCAACGGTTTAAAACGCGTAAAATCGGACATTTTTTACTGTGTACAACGCATTTAAACTAGGGAAGAATGGATATAACTCACATACCTTAATATTACAAACAACATTAAAATACAGTATTTTACTAATAAATAAGAGATATCAGGTAACATCGGTTCGAAGAAAGTTGGAAGTTAAAGAGCATATAACAGTAGTGTAGTTTCATTTCTTTTCAGAGAGTAGGTTCATGGTGATGTAAATGTAAATATCGAGTGATA